ATCAAAATCAGCTTCTCATGTTGCCAGACGCCTGCACCGTTTGACTCTGCTGACTGTTTGGTACTTCTTGCCAATGCCAACTCTCCATCCGCCCCACAGCCAGCTCGCAGCTCCTTCCTGCTGCTCATAATTCAGGAAGTGTGCCGCACTCTTTGTCAGGCGACTTGCATTTTATAACAAGCCGAAGCAGCTTTCCGCCACATTCCGTTGCACAGTGCGCTCCGTGTGTCCGCAGCGACAGCTTAATAAATGTCAAAAAGTAGCTGCAACACGAGTTTACTGTACAAGGCACCATGCACCATGCAGCAGGCACAAGTGACTCGCAAGGGCCAGCAATTTAATTTGCACAACTTGGCGAAATTAAATAAAAATGCTTTGCATTATTTACTAAATGCATCATTTTCATATTTTTAATATAAACATCATTAAATATGCACACAAAAACCAAATGAAAGCGAAATAATAAAATGCATAGCGAGAGTGGGAGAGGGTTACACTAGACAATACCCAGTAAAGAGAATGGAAGCCAAGAAGTAAAGAAGATTCACGGTAGGAATATGCATTTACATTTGCTTCACTTTCTCAATATTTTATTTAAATATCAAAGGACTCTTATTATTCATTATTAATATAGTTTTTCATATCCGGCCTACATCTAACTCCACTCGTATGCAACTCCACTTTACCCTCTTTCCAGCTGAGCTACAGGGTATCTGGGCTACAAAATAACAAGCAAATGCATTGAAGCGTTGTCTGCTTTTAATGAGTGTGTAAATTGCAGCTGTAAAAGAGCGAGAGAGAGAGAGAGAGAGAGAGAGTAAGACATAATGAAAAAGTGTAACAAAAATTGCGCAAATTATTTTAATGCATGCGCACAGTTTGATAATTAATATTAAAATCAGTTTGCGCGCTGTCTGCTCGCATTGTTGTTCAATTAATCAGACATATGTATTGTGGTCAAGTTTGCTATCACGTGGCCCAATTGTCACTTATTAATTAAAATCTCTGCATTCCCTTTAAATAAAAAAAAAATATATATATAATAATAATATATATAAAAATGTTTCAAATCTGTGTAAAATATTATTAAAATTTACACATGAATAGCCTGAATAAGTTTGCTATTTTTGCATTGACCACACGATGTGACAGACACCAAAGGCAAAACCACATTTAGTTTTATGCTTAATTAAAGCCATAAATTAATATTATTATTATTTGGCGGTAAGAGTGAATAATGTAAACTGAAAATGAGTTACAGCATAATTATATATAATATGGATATTAACAAAGTTAAACCTCCAAATGTTGCTCATAAAAAATAGTTCGAGTATACAGAAGGGATACTTAAGGGAAACACTAGAAGGAAATAGAGTAATGATATGGAGGTAAGACTTAGAGCAAAGACTTATAGAAAATACTGAGAGGTAGATATGCAGATCACTGTTAATAATTTGTTGAATATATTTGCTACCTTTCCTATGTTTTCTTCCATTTTTCAGCTAGCCCGCTCTTCTAGCACTTTTTCTACATTACACCCCGCTTAAGCCTGTTTCTACCCACAATCCAACTTAATTCGCAGCTCAAGAGCTGGCAACACCTCAATATGCTGCTCCTGCGTGACTTCAAGTGCAGCTTAATAAGATTTTACTTAAGTTTGTAGCAAATGAATGCTCACTTATTTCTCATAAATATGCATGATCTGCTTTCAACAGTTAACCTATTTGTTAAGTTTAAACTTTATAATTCCCCGTTAAATACTCTTAAATACACACATCAATTTGTCGATGAATCGCATTTGATTTGATTTACGCGGCATTCGCGTGTTAAGCACATTAAACAATTAGCTCCTGTTGGGGCACGACAAACAGTTGCAATTAGTGCGCGCGAATGGCACTCAATTAAATACAATAAATTCAATTGACAGCTGCGCTCCTTGACAATATTTGCACTTTGCATTTATTATTTTGCATTTTGCATTTTGCATTTTCCGCTTTTCCACCATTTCCCATTTTCGAAAATCTCATTAAAATGCCCAACGTATTTTATTTGTGCATAATTTGTGGCTCATTTATAAGTTATGCGTTATCTTTATTTATGCACATATTTGCCATTCGATTTTTTGTTTGTTAATTTGATTTTATTTATTTATTGTTTTTGCCTCGTTTACTGCTGCTGCGCACAAATTATTAACAAGTGCGCTTGGCTAATTGGCCGGCCTGTTGGCTTATCTGATCTGAAATCGTATTGCAATTTATGCACGCCTCATGTTAATCATAAAGTTCTCAGCTTTAACCAACTCGCGCAGAGTTTCAATTCGATTTGTGGCTTAAAATTGAAATCGGAAAAAAAAAGAAGCAGGAAAATCGAAAGCGAAAAATCAAAGAAAATTCCCTTTCAAACTTGTATTGGCTGCAGGCAAGGCAACGAAATACGAAATACGAAACACGAAACACGAGGAACGGAAAAGGGAAACAAATTTAATCAAAAAAGTGTATAAAGAAATGTTTTGCAAACAATTTCATCAGGAATGCTCTGCCCGCCTTTATTCAAATCTTACAAATAGATTTCAATATCTATACGCATTTATCAGTTACAGTTACAAAAACAGAGCTGAAATAAGATCCCTTCGTTATTATTTTTTTGTTTTTTTTTCTGCACATAGATATATATTTCAAGGGGGACCCTGGCCAAAAGTTTTGGCCAAACGAAAAAGTTCATTGTTATGCGCAGATTTGAATTCGGATTTGTTAAAAACCAACATATGTTCCTTTCAGGCCGAAATCCAAGCGCGCGCTAGACGGGGCCGGGCGGGGGCAGCAATGGCAGGTAAAGTCCAGCGCAGACAGAAATAGATGCGAATGCTCAGATTCACCTTTTTTGCATATATTTGTTGCTGTTGTTGTTGTTGTTGGGCAAATTCGACAATGCGCCCATTGAAATTTGCATGGAAATTTGTTTCGATGCCGTGGCAATCGCTGATGCTCCAAATCAGTGGAATATCAATGCGCATTACGCATACGTCACGTTTGACCGTTTCAGGGGGCGGTAGGGGGGGATAACGATAGATGGACGTCAAGTTGTTGGCATATTTTGCGCTGTATTTAGCAGCTTACCATGGCATATTAATTAACTTTTATGAGAGAGTAACCCAAACCCACACACACACGCACGCACTATAGCCGAGGCCCGCTGTGTGCCACGCTGCGTATGTGTAATATTTCATTTAGGTCCGTTGCGTCAGCCCACTTTATCTGTGCTCCGTTGAGTCTGCAAGATTTATTGCCTGCTTCAAAGATAAAGTCATTATTATGGCATTATAAAAGATGGCGAACGGCGCCCCGCGGCGCTTAGCGATATGAATCTTTGATGCATGTAATTGCCATCTCGACCCTCATGCGATGATCTCGTTCATTGATTTGCCGCCGCGGCTGCACACGGCACTCGGCTGGATGTACTCACTTTTGGCGGCCACTGTTTTATCGCTTGTCTTGGGCTAATTAAAATTTCATTAGACCGCGAACACGACGCATTCCGACAGCCATCAGCTGTCAGTGCCCGGCTCCAACATGTTGGTAAACAAGTACATGGCAAATTAATTATGCATACGAGCGCAAATTGACAGCTGCCACGCCCATCAAGGCAAACTCAAGCACAAACTAAGCACAATCAATAGCAACCAAGCAACGCGAGCGACACGTGTAAAACGAGTCAACGTAACTCGCAATTCGATACGCCCCAGCAAATATTTGACCCCAGAAAAAAAAATGGAAATGAGAGAAGAAGAAAATTTAAGCCCTTCGCGCTCTGCACTCGATGGCGGCGGCGGCGGCGGCGGCGGCCATTTGGCAGGCATTCAAGAGGCAACGGCAGCCATGGCCACTGCATGGCGTCTGCACAGCGCGACAAAATGGCCGACAAAATGGCGACAACATGGCTGAAGGTGCGCCTTAAAGCCATTTGGCTAGCCCTTTAAAAGATTAACAGCTGCAAATGGCCAGCGACACGCGATAAATGCAATTCCTAAGCTCGAGCCGAAACGAAAGTCAAACAAAGTCTATGCATAAGCCAATGGCTGACTCAGCTTATTATAGTAACTATTGAATTGCTCTGATAACTGTTATGATTTATACTTATTTACTTGCTCCTCCTACACACACGACTTCATGCAGCGTATACCTTGTGCGGCGTGAAACGAATCAGACACTCACTTTTGACTCTTTGCCTTCTTGATTGAATTTCCGGCCTGCGGTAGATGCGCCGGCTGCGGCAGATGTTGCATTCGCTCGTCTGTTGCCAGTTCGTGGCATGAAGTTTATTGAAATCGATCGACTTCCGCTTGAAGTGCGCTTTATTTATATTTATTTTTCTTCTCTTTTTTCATGTGATGTGCAGCCGATATTTGCATATAAGTAAAATGCGCCAGCGAATGCCTCAGATTTATGTTAATTTATTGAATTTCATTTGATTCGCACTGCCCGCCCTGCAATGTGCTGAAATCTTGCGTTGCGACTGCGAGAGCAAATTCAATCAGGTTTGTGCATAAATTACCAGACAGCAAGTAAGCAGCATCAACAGCAACAACAACAACAAGGGCAAAGGCAAAAAAAAGGTAAATTTCAGGCAACAACAAAGCGACAACAACAACAACAACTTGTTTCTTCTTTCACTTTATCTTTATAATGGCAAAAGTTTCAAGTTGAAAGCCTTCGTCCTTTTTTTTGTTGGTTGTTGCTGTAGTTGTTGTAGTTGTTGTATACCTTTCTTGTAAATTTATGTGGAGAGAGTTTTTTTGCTGGCCATCAGGGCTGGCCCTCGGGTCAGGTCGTTAAAATGAAGCTGCTGTTCATTATGTAATTGTGCTGCGCACAGGCCGAAGACACAGCATGCAGCTCTTTTTGCGGCTGTCATTTGAATAATTGATATGCTAATTTAATTATTGTTCAATTTGCACAGTTTATTGTGGCCCCACTGAATGCTGGACGGGTTGACCCTTTGACCTAGCTGCGGCTCTGCAGGCGATCCAGCTCCACTTGCTGCAGATAGTCGACGACGGTGGTGCAGAGCACCACCTGCAGCAGCATTTTGCAGCCGCTTGCGATGCCAGCGAATGTAATCACAGCGGCGTTGGGCCTTGGCTTCCAGGCCAGAATGCTGACGGAATGCGGGCGATAATCGACGAAAGGCAGGCGTGTGCTGAGCTGCAAGGGAGATGAGTGGGCATAGAGAATAAATAATATTGTTATCAACAACTATGCTCACTAGGAAACCGATGATGTCCTTGCAGTCCCTGCGCTCACTGAATGACCTCGGAGCCACCTGCTGCTTGCTGCTGGGCAGCTCAATCTTCCAGATGTTGTTCATAAGCTTCTTCTGCTCTCGCTGCTGCAGCTTCGCAGTGAAGAGCAGCGGCAGCATCATGGTGAGTGTCCCAGCGAGCTCGAATGCTGCGAAGATCAGTGCGTGATCCCGCGTTTGTGGTGGGCTTTCTTGACCCAGCCACTCCGCTTCCTCCTCCAGATGGTCGATGGACTTGTGGCGTGACAGAATCACGTCCTCCTCGTAGCTGAACTCACTCACATAAGCACCGCACTTGAGGCAAAGCTGGCAGAAGAGCCAACAGAAAGCTAATCGAAAGTAGAAGGCGGCCAAGTGCTGTATGCGCTTGAGCAGAGGACACACCTGGAGCACTTGCCGCAGCAGGTTGAGCTCATTGGGCTGCTGCAGCTGCAGCTGCCGGAGCAGCTGATTCAGCGACTGCAGCACCGCCGTGTGCAGCAGCAGCTGATAGATGTTTACGGTCAGCAGGAGCACCAGCAGCAGATCCATGGCGCCCATTCCATAGTGGATGAGATTTTCGCCCATTGTCAGTGGGAAGTTGAGGAAAAGCAGGCTGAAGCTCAGCCAGAGCAGCAGCAGGAGCTGGAAAATGCCCAGAAATAGAAGCAGCCAGGAGCACTTGAGCTGGAGACGCTCGCGCAGCACAGACTCCAGATGCCTGTAGACCAATTGGGCTTGATCTACCATATACCAGAGCTGCAGCCTGCCGGTCAAGCACATAATCAGCATCCACACATAGATGATATTTCGTGCGAGGAGCATGAAGAAATCCACCACGTCCAGGTCCGGCCGTGTACCGGGCGCGACTTCGTTGTAGGTCGCATTCATGTGTTCCGTCTTGCAGCGCAAGAGGAACTGTATAATGTTGAGGAGAATCAGCAGTAAGCACGGAAAGGGCATGAGAAAAGAGGAGCAGCAGCCGCGTCTCAGGCGATAGCGCTGATGAGCTCTGTCGAACCTCAACTTCAGCAGCCCAACGACATCGAGGATCAGACACTGCACCTTCAGCAGTATAAAAAGCAAGTTGAAGCGCCACATGCTGTTGCCAAACTGAAGCGAGACTACATAACGGAAGCTAAATTCAATTATTGCGCTCAGCTGATTGATGGCTCACTCAAAGCCATCAAGCCATCAAGGAATGCCAGCAATGGACTTGGCTAATTGTCTGCACAACATTAATATCGAAATGGCTTTTCGTATGGCAGTTATGGAAATCGATTAGCAATGGATGCAGAGAGAGAGAGAGAGAGAGAGAGAGAGAGAGAGAGAGAGAGAGAGAGAGAGAGAGGGAGAGAGCAGGAGAGAGAGGGAGACACAGAAAGGCAGAGTAGAAGCAGGAGTCGAGAAGAGCCGGGCAGCTTGCAGTTCGCTCTATTATTTAAGGAAATTATTTGATCATGAGATTTATTCTCTTTTTTATATAAAACTGCAGCATGATATCTGACTGAAAAAGGTTCAGTCGTAAGCCTATACCCTTTTTAATATAGTATGCAGAATAGATACTTATATTATAATATTTAATATAAAGAAATAAAAGAAATTAAAACTTTTCCAATTCGATTATTGCATATCTTTTTCGGATTATTGTAGCCCAACTTAAGTGCTAGTGCATTCGCTGCAGATAGTCCACGATGGTGGTGCAGAGCACCACTTGCAGCAGCATTTTGCAGCCGGCTGCAATGCCAGCGAAGGTAATCACAGCGGCGTTCGTCTTTGATCTGCAGGCCAGAAAGCTAATGGAATGCGGACGATAGTCGACCAAGGGCAGGCGTGTGCGGAGCTGCAAGGAAGTTGCATTTGTATAGATTGATTTGATAATATATCAATATAGCTCTGCACCAAGAAGCTGAGGATGTCCTTCCTTTGCCTGGCACTTGCTGGCAGCGCTCCCTGCTTGCTGCTGGGCAACTTAATGCTCCAGATGTTGTTGATCAGTGCCAGCTGCTCTCGCTGCTGCAGCTTTGCAGCGCAGAGCAGCAGCAGCAGCATGCTAAATGGCCAGGCCATATCCAAGGCTGCAAAGGACATGCTCAGTCGATTCTCGTGGGGCTGGAGCAGCGTGTTCTTCCCGGAGCTGAGCTCGTTCACATAGGCACCACACTTGAGAGCAAGCTCGAGGAGGAGCCAGCAGAATACCAAGCTGAAGTAGAAGGCAGCCAAGTGTTGTATGCGCTGCAGCAGAGGATAAACGTGCAGCACTTGGCGCAGCAGCTTGAGCTCATTGGGCAGCTGCAGCTGTTTGAGCAGCTGGTTCAGCGACTGCAGCATGCCTGTGTGCAATAGCTGGCGAAAGAGCTGCAGGGAGAGCAGCAGCATGAGGAGCAAATGGAGTGCGCCCATCACATAGTTGCCATAGTGCAGCAACTCCAGCAGGACCAACTTCAAGCTGATCAGCAGGAGCAGGAATAGCTGGCAAACGCCCAGCAGCAGGAGCAGCCAGGAGCACTCCAGCAGGAAGCGCTCTCGCAGCAGTTGCTTCAGGTGCCTATAGGCTAGTTGGGCTTGATTTATCATGCGCCAGAGGTGCACTCGCCAATGCAAATACACGATTAGTATCCAGACATAGGCCAGGTTCTGGGTGAACTGGCTAAAGAAGCCCATGGCCTTCAGCTCGACGCGTGCATTGGACGCAGCCTCGTCCGTGTCCTTCTCGCCGAAGCGCCAGCTGAACTGCACAAAGTTAATGAAGATCAGCAGGAAGCACGGCAAATGTGTTAGGAACGAGGTCCAGAAGCCACGTCTCCGGCGATAGCGCTGATGAGCCCTATCGAACCTTAGCTTCAAGAGCCCAACACCATCGAGAGCCACACACTGCAGCCTAAGCAGGCCATAGAGCAAGTTGAACCGCCACATGCCGTTAGAGAACTGAGGCGAAGCTAATTGAAAGCATTCATTCATTTATTTATGGCTTCACTTGATTGATGGCTACACATTGTCACATTGTCACTCGATCTCATCAAGCTGATAGCTGCGATAGATCTGGCTAATTGTGTTGGTCACATTTATGTCGAAATTGCCCTTCGTATAGCTGTCGTAGAGGTTAATTTGCATTTCCGTGTGCTGGCAGGAATAGAGGCAGAGGCAGAACAGGAACTGGCAACCCACTCGGACGAAGGTGCGCAGCAGAATGGGCAGCGTCAATTGTAGATGTTGGGTTCCGACGCCCACGATGGCCATTGCCAGAGGGGCGCAGCGACGCAGCTGAGTCACCGGCAAGTCGCTGAAAAACTGGGAGAGAATGAGATTAAGCCACAGGTTAAGGCACAGAGATCTGGGCAGCAACTGACCAGCATGCTGATGATGTCCCGCTTGTGCTGCGGCTTGATGCAGATGCGCTGTATGGGCAGGCCGAAGGGCATGGGCAGCGTCTGGTTGCGCAGCAGGCACCAGGAGCGCAGCCGGAAGTACTCCAGGCGATCTTCCATGCGCAGATAGTTGTCGTTGAACTTCCAGTGCTGGAGCTGCACGTCGTACGAGCAGAGCATCAGCGTCAGAAATGTGAGCAGCAACAGCAACAGATGGGAGGCCAATATGCGATCCATGCTCAGCGTGTCGGCGGATCGCCAGTCGGGCAGCAGCTTGCCAAAGCGGTACGCAATCAAGCCCACGAAACTGAGCAGATGCAGCGTCAGGTAGCGCATAATGCGCCAATGCAGATACCAGAGACTCACCTGCTCGCGCAGCACGGTGCGCAGGATGCCCAGGCGGGAGCTGCGCATGTGCTGCTGCAGAAATGTGTTCAGCGCCCGGTAGATGCTGGCCAGCCAGATGAGATAGTTGCCCAGGAAGAGCAGGTGCATGTAGTAGATGAGCGAGGTGCCCGCTATGAAGCAGGCCTGGTAGTTGTAGTACACGTGGAACTGCCAGACGAACAGCCCCAGCACCTCGGCGGACAGCATCAGGGTGAGGCCGCACTCGCGCCAGAGCGGTACGCACATCCAGGTGCCCAGGACGCGGTGCAGTGTGCCGTGCGTTTGGCTGCAGGCGTTCAGGAGCGAGACGAGATGCTGGCGCAGCACCACAAAGTAGACGTAGAGCGGCACGAAGACCAGGAACAGCAGCCCGTCGTACACCCAGCCCTGGCTGAGCCACAGATAGCCCAGCGAGCTGATCATGTACATCAGGGTCATCATCTGCACGTAGAACAGCTCGCCCCGCACGAACCGCGCCTCCTTCGTCAAGGTCAGATTGTAGAAGCCCAGATAGATGCCCAGCCGGCCGATGACTCGCCACACGCAGAGTATGTGGCACAGGCAGAAGCCTTTGACCGTCGCATGCGTTCGCATCGCTGCCAGCTGCTGGCCACACTGAGCGCGAGCCGAGCCCTCGCTGGAGCAGAAGGCAAATTTGTTGCCGCTGCATGTTAATTAGCTTTTACAGTGAATGATAAGTGCGACATTTATTCTGTGAGCGAGTCCTCGAACCACAACGACAAGCAATATTTCATGCTCTGTTTATTTTACACTCTGATATGGGGTCATGAAATCGAGGAGAGCACTCAAAATAGCATAAAGCCCAAATGGAATATGAGAGCCCACTATAAAAGCGGCCAACTTCATCGGGCCGCTTTTTAATTCATATTTATCTTTGGCGCCGTTTAAGGACCCGGCGGGCCCGGCGGCAGCGATGATTTAAGAGGCATGTAAGCAGCCGTATGGAACACGCATCGTATCGCTGTGTAAGTGTGCGATAAAAGCCGCCCATAACAATGACAAAAAACTGCATGTTTTTATTACAAATTGCAATTGTGAAAATTTTATACATGGCCGCAGCCACATTGCCATCGTCGCATCGTGTCACATTCCACAGCCTCCTCCTGCACCTGCAGCAACAGAGCACAAAGAGGAGGAGCAGGAGCAGGAGCAGGAGCAAAAACAAAAACGCTGACCTGAAATGGGAGGCGGGGCGCAGGCAGGGGCTGCGATAGTGTCGCCACAAATAAACTTCCGCACAAAAATTGGGCTGCATATCCGGTGGGCCGCCTCGACAGTTTTTATTGCCGCTTTTTGCTGCGTGCCGCGCATAAAGCAAATGAATTTATTTTTTTCCATTTTCGGCCCCTTTAAATTTCTTTTTCAATTTAAATTGTCCGATGGCAGGCAGCGCTAAAAAAAAAAAAATGGTAAAGAAAGAGCTCATCCAAAGCTTTCTTTTAGTCGATTTCGGCTGCTATAAATTTGTGCATGTTTTCATTAGTTGTCAGCGCTGCTTTTGATGATTTATGCATGTTTTTGCATCCATCCACTTTGGAGGTGGTGCGAAAAAACAAAATATACATATATCTATTAAAAATTTAGTTGGAGTTGCAAATGTTTTTCAGCCAATGCGAATGGCGGCAGCTGCCCCGGGTCGAGCGAAAATGTTCATATCAAAATACTGTTCATAGAGACATCATATTAATGAACTTTTAAGACAGGCATTTGATATATTAATGTATATATTTTGTATATATGTATATGGTATGAATAGTTTACATTTTGTAAATTCTTAAAACTTTAATTATAAATACTTTCTATATATTTTTAAACTCTTAATAATATGTATCATCATTTTAGATAGATAAATAGATAAATTATTATTATTATTATTATTATTTATTTTTTCAAGTACTCTAAAGTGTCTAAACAGTCTCTCCTATTATCCTACCTTAGGCTTATATTTTTTACAAATTTTATTTCATTAAAAATACAACAGTTTTAGCTCAGTTTGTCTACTGATATGCAATAGGACTATAACAAAGAGCTAACTTGATTATGCAAGATAATTAAAGTACCTGTGGAACATATTAAAATGTGCTCGCTTATTATAATCCTTGAAGCGTCTTAAACGACATGCCTACCCAGAAAAATATAGCTGCAGCCGCAGCTAAGACGGCAGCCGCCTCACTCGACTCAGTTTTCCTGCCTGGGCATCTGGGATAGAGACTGCTGCTCGAGCTGCTAACGACATGGCTGATGGCAATGCTGATATGCACAGCCTTTTGGGTACGTACACAGCTCCAGTGACTGGCTTTGCAACTGCTGCTTCTCCTGCTGCTT